GTGTGTGTGTGTGTGTGTGTGTGTGTGTGTGTGTGTGTGTGTGTGTGTGTGTGTGTGTGATAGAAAAGGTGAGTGAGAGACGGCCTCTAGAGATTTCCTCCCACCCGATAAGAATAATTCTGACCCCACACCCCCACCAACCGGCGTCACGGCAATCTGTCGGCGACCCTGTTACCATTCCAATCTCTGCCGTGACCCTGTCACAGTGGCTGCCGGATGCTGCTTGGCCCGGTGTCGTCGTGGTGATAAGGATTGCACGGCCTGATGCTCAATTGAGCGGAGGGATTAATCTGGTTGCAGGGCTATAATAATAAATGAAAAAAAGAGAGAAAGACCAGAGTCGAGCTTGATTGAGGTTTTAGTGGCAAAGAAATGAAAAGGAGGAGGCTCAAAGGGACAGCAAATAGACGAGCAGACGGCGCGGTGCAGGAGAAAATCGAGAGGAGAGGAGTGACGAGGAGCGGGAGCAGCCCCTGAAGGCCTCACCCTTCCTCATGATACCACACACATATACATACACGCATGTGACGGAGCTCAGCAGGGAGGCACACCATCACATAAGATGACATCACTCAACTGTTTGATGTGTGTATTATTTTCAGAGTGACAGCGGGCGCTGTAAGAGGCTCAGGCTTGCTGTCAGTCACATTGGTTCTCATTGTCTTCTGTCTGTCAGCTCTTGTGTTTTATCCACTCGGCCTCTGTGGGGTCTAATGCTTTTCTAAACGCCTGATGTTTGCCTCGTAATGGACGAGCACAGAAGTTTAAGATTAAGACACAAAGATATTAACTCAGATTATAGTACCGGCTTTAAAGTTGGAAATAATGGATCTCTAATAGCTGCGTGAAACTCCACCGGTCACTCAGAGGTGGATCACATCTTCTATCGTGTCTGGGTAATCTTATATATACACACACATTAAAATATAAATAGATGCATAGAAAAGACACAGCCCATATAAGATTATGTGACATGTGATAATACCTCATAGAAATAAAGAATTCTGGTCGTTGGTATACCTCATAAGAGCTTGAAAAGATCGAAGAAAAATTTACTTCTTTTTAAGAGTTTGACACAAATAAGTCGTATATTGTTGAAAGGAGTTAACAAACCTGGAAAATGTTTTTTCTCTGTCTCCCTCAGTGCTACGTCTCGTCTGCCAGGCTTCCAGCTGAGTAACATCGCCATCAGCTTGTCCATTGTCACTCACAGCAAGAAAGGCCAGACCAGTGGTAAGAGACTCTCACACACACACACACTACGTTTCTGTATAGATAACACATGTTTAATCATTTTGATTCACACAGACTCACTTCTTGCTCTTCTCCTCCTCAGATGCTCTTGAGAAATTGAAGTCTATGCTGCAGGTGGGTCACGTGCCCTCCCAGCTTGCCATCACCAGACTGGTTCAGGCCCTGGGCGCCAATGGCGACGTGGCAGGCATCGAGGAAGTGGAGTCCCTGATGAAAGGTCTCGGCACAAACCTCAACCTGTCCAGCATGATTTTTCTCAGCAACAAGGCTCTGGCACACATCAAGAAGTAAGACTGCTGCTGAGCATACATGTGAACTGTTCTGTTTTTGAGTTGAGGGGCACTTCGTGTGTATGATAAGATGTCAGAGTGTGGTGGCTGCAGGCTTGTGGATTACGGGTTAATTTTAACAACATCAATAATGTGGAAGTTACTGTAATTGTGTAAAACATTCTACACAAGAGAGCAGAGACTCAGGAATATGCATCTTCAAAAATAGAAAAGACAGACACCTGACAGAGAAACAAATCACTGATTATGATCGAGGCTGCATGAGCAAATCATTCTAACTTCAATTTATGACACAGTTTGCAGTGATGAGTTATTTGTACTGTTGTACTGTGAAGTTTCAGTATAAAGTTTTATTCTAAAAGCTTCCAGTGGAGCACTTCAGCATGTATTAGTTATTATTAACGTTCAGTTCACCAAGATAAAGTGTTTAATGCAGCACCAGCGGCAGAGATGACAAAACCCAGGTTGACACACTGTTACAGTAAAAGCTCACAGGGCGAGTGGGCGTCAAGTACAAATAGGAAACACAGGCGTCATAGGTTTATTCATGGATTCCTTTTAATGTCATGAAATCACCCGTCGTCAACAACAGAACAAAACCTTAAACACATTGTGCATCAAACTTTCATTGCGCTACTCTCCGCATTAGCAGCATTGAACGGCGCGTCCCCCCAGCTCGAGCGGCATCCTCCCCGTGCCAGCTCGGAGGGACAGCAGGAAGTGAAGAATAGCAGGACGGTCTTACGCCCGATTGGCCATCGCAGCGCGGGCCTGTCAGCTTGAACCCTGACCTGCGGGAGCTGCGCTCTGAGCGGCTCTGACACGTGCGTCCCCACTGTATCTGAGTCAAGCTGACTTGTTAAGAGCCGGGGCGGAAAAGCAGGCAGGCCTGGAAAGCGGAGCGCCACATTTAGAGGGGCCCCCCGCTGAATTATTCAGACGGTCCCAGTCGCAACAATCAGCGTGGATATGTTCCCCCACCTCTGGACGCTCACACACATATACGTACACAGAGACGCACACAAACCCTGCAAGTTAAATATTCATTACGACTGGTGATGGTGGGGAGGGAGCGTAAAGTGTTAGTAGCGAGGTTGTGTTGCCAGAATGAGTTGTTTTAGATTTGTAGTGCCTCGGTTTGCAGGCTTTGTTTGCTTGTGGCCACCTCAGCAGAAAAATATTACACAGTGCGAGTGAGACTCAGTGGAAGAATTAGTGCGTCTGCCCTCCGAGGGGCTGGCACAGGACAGAAATATTAAAGAAATTACAACACTGTTTGAGAGCAGTTTTTTATCATCCTTTAATTTTCAACATATCTCATGTGTAACTGTCCCCGCCCCCGAGTTGTGAAATCGCAGTTCCGACTTCTGTGTGCTCTTGTGCTTTCAAGTCAGAATGCGGAAAAAACGTGTCTTGTAAGTAAGAAAAATGATCAGGTGTGATTTATGTGATGACGTCAGCAGCTCAACTGCTCGTGTAACAACATTCTTGCCAACTTTAGGAGTTGAGATGGAGTTCACGTGAATTTTCCCAGTTTCAATTTTCCGATTAATCCGTCACCACATGAACGAACGATTTGTGATTGTAAATTTTTTAAGAATAAATTTCTGCAGGTTTTTCAGTGTTTTTTTTTATCTATAATAAACAGAACATTTGTTTCCCTCTTCAGTGACGATGTGGACTCAGCAATTGAAATGCTCGACTCCGCCTACACTAGTCCGGACAGCGCCAAACCCGGTATGTCCTTTGTCTTCAGAAAGGTCATGGAAGATGACAACGACAAAGCCTTAGACAAGTGTAAGAGACTCACACACAAAAACACACAAAATGAACAAAATATGAGACTACTAGAAACAAATCCCTGTTGACCGAGCGTCCATGTTGTATTGTAGTGAGTGCCATGGCGGAGCGGCTAGCCAATCACTTTGCCTGCTACAGACCAGCTGTAGACCTCTTCCTCCAGCTGCTGGATATGAACAAACTGGAGGACGCCAAGTTCATGCTGGCTGTGAGTATGTGTGTGTGACACACCAAAAGTTTTAATCATCCAAAGGTTTAATTCTGTGTCGCAAATGCTTCCATTTTGTATCTTTTCTGTTTGGACCGTTTCAGCTACAGTGCGAGCGGGTGTAAAATCATTTCTTGCTTCTCTTTCTCATCTATTTAACCCATTAAGACTGGATGCAACAAACTGGGTGTGACATATACTGTACATGCTTCTCCCGTTTCAGCCGGTATCATTGTTTTCAAGACCTGTGACTGATGAATACATCGTGATTCACTGAAAAACTCACGGGAAAGGCACAAAAAATAAACTCACTCTCTGCCAAATAAATCTGTCAGAGAAAAATGCAGCTACGACAGATTCTGCACACCATGAGGAAACCTCTGTAGGTTTTTTTTTTTTTTT